TTGTACATTATCTTTTAGAGTAACAGAATGCTCGTAGCATTTTCTTACATCTTCGTATTTAATTCATGTTCTAATGTTTCATGAAATCTATAAAGAGATCAGACATAAATACCTTAGGGATGGGAAGCCACGATTTCTTCACGAATGATGCTTATTCGCGATTCCGGAAGACACAACTGAACTACTTCCGGAGATATCGGCTCCTATAGACAATCTGAACATATTTTTGAGTGGAGCCATTCAAGTGTAATGACTTTTAACACAAGCCGAAGACACAGAAAAATAAAAGCATCTATTATGAATTTCTAACTATATTAATTCTCAGGAATTAAACTTTTCGTTTTAATGGCAACGAAAAAGAAATGTACATTTAAAACAATGACAAGAATTCTCCAAAAGCTCATTTTAATATACGCAAATGAAATTTCATATTATTATATTTCATATTATAATCAAGTCATTTCATATTAAATGTAATTTCATCACAATGAATTAACAATAAGCTGCGTCTAACAATATTCTATTGTTGCGATTGCGAAGCGAAAATGGTGCGCTGCCTAAAGAAGTTTTTTTTGCGAATGCGAAGTAATAAGGACAAGAAGAAAGGGTAAATTTCCTCATTAATTACATTTATAATTGAGATTTATTTAATATTAATTACGATATAATCGAATTTCCTTACAGGAGAGATGATGATGCTGAACCAAATGGTCAGCGAGTTACAGATTGTCCTACAAAGTTAAGATATTACTCTTTCTCTAGGAAAATCGGCGTTATTTATGATTAAGATTGAGTTAGTCTTTATTTTTCTAAACAAGTTTCAAATACTATTTCCGATAACGTTAAGCGTAAACAAACGACTTTATTATTGATTTTTTTTAGTTGGACGAAAATTGTCTCGGAACAAAGTGTCTCCATTCAAATAGAGAGGATTCACCGTTCCCAGGCGAGTATTCAGAAAAGAAAATTTATAGAATTCTGTAGGAATGCATCCTATAAATTCTGTTGTTGTGTCGTATGTCGGGCGAGATTTCCGATTCACGGATAAGTTCTCGTTCTTTATACAATCCTTGAATTAAAGAAGTTTATAATTTAAAGATTCTGAGATTTTAGAACTGCGAATTGGAAAATAATCCTGCACATTCTCAAATTCGACCGGATTCATCGAAATATGATGAACACATTCTTAATGAAAACTACGAGATTAAAGAAATAGGAAAGGGAAATTTCGGTGCAGTTTTTTTGGCTCGGTGTAAAAATTCGGATGAAAAAGTGGCTTTGAAAGCCGTCAAGATGAAGGGCTTTTGTCTCGCACAGGTATGCTTTAAGCTTTGTTTCGATTGTAATACGGCGTCAAAAACAGAACATGTTTATTAAATTATTCTCGACTTCAAAAATCATCAATTCACACATCATTTATGTTATTACACGTTTATCAAATTCAATTATTAAAACCAACGGGATCGGTAACAATATTAATACACTAAAAATAAAATTTTTACTTAAAAACAAGTAAAATTATACTCTTTCTATTTCCGACTTCGAGGATTCTATCAGCCAAAACACGACAAACAAATGGCAAGGAACAATCATTGTTTTATTAATTTTATCCATAAATGCATCAGGCCTCCTCAGTGGATACATCAAGATGTTACTCGCTGGTTACGTTTTATACCCAACAGCCGTTCCCATCATGCATCAACAATCATTCCAGCATTCAAATTAAGCAAATTTACATGTTCGGCAATACAAAAATGTTCTACAATTTTTCTTTCTAAATTATTTTCTATTCTATACAATATTTTAGTATTTTTTATATTTATATTACAATTAAATTCTCTACAATGTAAAAACCATGTTGATTCCGTTATTCTCAGTCTAATGGCCGCCTCATGTTCCTTTACTCTCAACTCCAATTTTCTTCCGGTTTCTCCAATGTAATGATTTGGGCTTCCACATGTACATGACATCCTGTATACGACACCGGCGATCTTAAATTGGTCTCTGGGCGAATTTTCACTATTTATTATGCTGATAATGTTTGACGTCTTATTCTTTTGATTCGCAACTATGCATATAGAAAATTCTTTAAATATCGGTTTATATTTTTCAAAAACATTAGTAACATAAGGAAACTTTACATAAGAAATATCTTCTATGTTGTTTTTAACATTAAATCTACGTTTTAAATATAAATTGTACCACTTACAGAGAATATACTTCGGATAATCATTTAACTGAAATTTTTTAAACAATTGTTTTACTTCGATGTCTATATTTTCTTGCTGAGTTGTTCGATTTAATATCTTTCTCAATTCCATAATAAAGACATTCTTTTTATTTTCTAAAGGACAGTAAGATTTAAAGTTAATAGTTTTACCATTATTACATAGTTTTTCATACTTACTAAATGATACACTTGTTTCTTCTCTTTTTATGGTGACATCTAAGAAATTCATTTTATTTTGTTGTTCATCTTCACTTGTAAACTTTAAATTTTTATGTAATCTATTTGCATATTCCTCAATGTGTTTGGATGAAAGTATTTGAGAATCATAAACTATTATTATGTCATCTACATATCTTGCATAATATTTAATACCTGTTAAACTCGAAATTCTTTCATCTATTTTATTCATATAGTTATCAGCCAGTTTTGGTCCTATGACCGATCCCATGGAAATACCTTTCTTCTGCCTATAATATTCTATAGAAATTTTAAAGTAATTATTATTAAATACAAATTTTATAAGTTCCATTATATATTCAGGAACGTTATATATTTTAAGACTTTCTATTATCATTTCTAGAGTAATCGACGGATACATAGACTTTATATCAAGACTCATAATGCGAAAAGATTTTTTATAATTACCTTTTAACAATCCGTTAATCAGTTCTTCTGTATTTTGTATACTATAAATTGATTTATCCATATTCTGAAAGAAATTTTAAAAAAAAAATTCCAAATTATACAAAATAGTTTTTCTAAAATCCACAAGGGGTCTGCAAGTGTTACCAGGCTTATGTGTTTTAATTNGATTTATCCATATTCTGAAAGAAATTTTAAAAAAAAAATTCCAAATTATACAAAATAGTTTTTCTAAAATCCACAAGGGGTCTGCAAGTGTTACCAGGCTTATGTGTTTTAATTCTTACATTTAACTTAGGTTCTCATACATTATTAAAATCCAAAATATGTTCCTCTTTATTTCCTGGAAGTTTTCTTATTGCATGTTCTATTTCCGCTATTATTGGCAAATTCTTAAAATTCATTGGAAGATTCATACTCCTTAAAGAAATAATCCCTAAATAATCACTTGGTATTTCAACATTTGTAACATTAATTATTGATTTCTTGATCCATTCTTGTTTTTCAACTTCAGTAGGGTAATTAAATTTTTCTGTTAGTTTAACATGTTTATTCAAAATATATTGACCATGAAGATTATTTTGTATATTATTATCTCTATTATATTTTTTTAAATTCTTAAATTTCTTACGTAAATTATAAATTTCTTTACCTTTCTTTTTAATTGCTGATCTTATTATTAATTTTTCTATTTTCATTACATCACCCATTCGAATACTGGAACATATAGATGCTGGCAATCTAAATGTTGCTGGTACATATTGCTCTCTTAAAAAGCACTTAAAATAATTTCTATCCATCGCCAATCTGTCCATTTGACGCTTCAAATCCTCTATCCCCATCTTTAAATTTACAAATGTATAAATATAAATTCAATTATTAAAACCAATGGGATCGTTAACAATATTAACACACTAAAAATAAAAACTTTTTAGTTAAAAACAAGTAAAATTATACTCTTTCTATTTCCGACTTCGAGGATTCTATGAGCCAAAACACGAGAAACAAACGGCAAGGAACAATCATTATTTTATTAATTTTATCCACAATTTTTGGATAAAATTAGGCCCTGTTTGTAAAGATGTGGTTTACCAGCCTGCTAAATACGATGCCGTTAGTCTTGTCTGAGTTGAAATGTAGTTTATAGACCTTGCTCTATTGGATAACTTTATTTAAGACGGTCCATGTCTATTGAAGCTCGCTTCTAGATTTTCCACCACGGAGTAGAAGGGCATCGTCAGCGTAAGCGAAAGAGCAGTGCTGGCCAAAGTCATGGTTTAGAAATTCATTGAATAGAATATTCCACAGCAGTGGGATATTTCTGAGGGCAGCTCCTGCTGACCTTTCTCTCAAACTGCAGGCTTCCTGATTGTATTGTGGCAGTTCTGTCACAGAGGTAGTCTTTGACAATGCAGTATAGATTGGCAGGGCAACCATATTTCCTCAGTTGAAAGAGAATTAGTGGCCACCAGGCACTGGGCATTGGACTTGATATTGGCCTTGCCAATATCAAGTCCAATGCCCAGGCATACTTGTAATTGGTAAGCAGTTAATTAATGCTGGAAGTGGCGTTTTTGAAGGCATCTGATGTAGCGTGCTGTTTCCTGAAACAGTATTGTCGTGAATAGAAACTGTTTTTGGCTTCCAGGTGCTATCCAATCCCGTTGGCCATCACTTTTTCCAAAATTTTTCCGATTACTGGCAGGAGGAATGTGGGCCTAACATGAAGTGGCTTGCCGTGTTTCGGAATAAGCACCATTTTGGCCTTTTTCCAGGTGCATGGGAATATTCCCCATTGAATGCAGCTGTTATATGTTGCTTTTAGGAGTTCAGGACAATGATGCCAGAATTGCTGCACCATTTCTGGCGTAATACTGTCGATCCCAGGTGCTTTCCTTTTGTTTAGACTTTTGATAACCTTGTCTATCTCGTTAAAGTTCAGAAGAGGACTGTTGTTGGTGTGAATGGGATTTGATACACAATTCCTTATGTAGCTATGCCAGGGACTGTCTTAGTTGTTATCATCTGCTAAGCAAATGGTCCATAATTGAAGTTTTAGACTATTTACAAAAATATCAAATTTTCGAGTCTATCTTCATCCTTTTTTATACAACACCAGAAGTAACAGTTAACATGGCTTTTTTAACTTCAATTATGAAGAATTATATCCTGAGTTATTACAGAAATTGTATTAATAAGCAAATGGTATCGAACTAAGCGGCAATAGTGCAGTGTACATCTGTAGTTTGACTGCCATTTACATGCCTGGTAGTAAAGGCACTTCTGGCCTTAAGCTTTCCTGTGCACCATTTGGACAAGAGCCCCATGGGTTGTTGGCAGCCTGCATGCAGTACTCCCTCCAGGAGGAAAGCTTCGCCTCTTTAATGCCAGCCTTGTATGTCCTCTGATGATCCAGGTAAATTTTCTTATGCTGTCCTTTCCGGCTCGGCAGTAGTATTTTGAAATTTTCCGACGAAGCAAGATGTTGGATTCTCTATGTTGAGAGAGTGTGGAGTTTTAATAAGGTACACTCTTAACTTTTCTACTGCCCTTCGGAATGGTGCTGTTGCATGCATCAGAGATAATTTTGATATTCTTGTCAATACAGGCACGAGCATCTGCTGAGTCGTGGATATCAGTCAGTCAGTCAGTCAAAGTAATTTTTATTACCTGGTACCGCTGAGCATAGTCAGGCAGAAATACAGAAAGATACATAGTAGATACATGCTGTTAGTCATAGAAGGGATACAATAATATAATAGCAGAAAAAATGGAAAGTAAAATAATATAAAATGTAAAAATAAATGAAAACAAG